TAACTTGATCAAGTGTTTTTGCTTTCTCCATAGTACAAGAGACGTTGAAGATAGATACACCAAAAGATCTTGATCCATTGTGTAACGTGTTAACCATTGAGTCTCCAAAAGATCCTGTACTATAGAGATGTTGATAGTAGATATCTGTAAAGCATGCCAACTTTTCTTCAGCCTTGTGAACTAAGACTCAAGTTGACAAACTGATTTGACAATGCAACTTGCTTTATGCAGTACGAATAACTTCAACTTTATCACTAACTCTGAATGATCACCAGAAGCCAATTTACATTCACCAAGTGTAGAGACAATTATGTTGCTTTTTCTGATGTTGAGACCTTCAGCTTTAGATTCTACGCCAGACATCACTTAGAGAGTGTTCACTAATGCAGAAATGACTTTTTACATCGGGCGAAATTGACTTTTTACATCGGGTCTTAGTCCGATGTAAAGCCAGGCGATGTAGTAAATCAAAGACATTTTACATCGGTTCTGTGGTCCGATGTAAGAAATACACCAATCACATCGGTTAAATATTTAAGTCTGATGTGGAAAAAAATTTATAACTGTAAATTTTAATTATAAAAGGGTGTTTTTACATCGGTTGCAGGGAAAAACCGATGTAAAAGGTGGGTATTTTACATCGGTTGCGTGCCAAAACCGATGTAAAAAGTACTGGAGGAAAAAAAATCCATGCTGCTGACACTTTTTACATCGGTTATTCCGTTAAACCGATGTAAAAGGTAGTTTTTTACATCGGTTTGTTGGTTCACCCGATGTGAAAAGTACTGTAGGGAAAAAAATTTGCTGACACTTTTTACATCGGTTATTCCGTTAAACCGATGTAAAAGGTAGTTTTTTACATCGGTTGTTTCATTCGCCCGATGTAAAAAGTACTGTTACGAGTATACATTATTTGTCTATTTTTTAGCCGTTCCATGTATCTTTTTTGGTACCTAATTTTTTATATTTTTCCAACATTACACAGACCATAATTAGGTCGCTATTTTCCATAGTGCATATCATATAGACCACATTTAGGTCGCTATTTTCATAGTTTTGCAACATCACATAGACCATATTTAGGTCGTTATTTTCATATTTTTCTCATAAATCTAATTTGATTGCACCAAATATCTAGTATGTATACACATAATTGATTTACAAAAGTACTGATACAAAAGTACTGATATAGGATATACACAAATGTACTAAATTATAAGGAGGTTTGCACGATGGACCACTACAACAACAAAAAAACTCAACCTTTATATAACTCAAAGAAACATGTTGCCCAACGGAGTCGCAAATCATACAAATCATTGTTTGATAAGTTCATTGGGTCATCAAATACCTACAACACGTAAGTAACAATAGAGTTATTCTTTGAAAATTCACATTAAGTTGCAAAACGTAAAGTAAATAACAAATTAAAGTCATTTTTATTACCTTCATCCAAGATTTGGTTATTTTTGCAGAGACAATATCCAACATATTTTTCATCACATAATACCCACAATCATCAGAGTTAGGTTGTTTCATGTTTATGTAAAATATCTTGATTAGGACTTAATCTCAGGATTTGACCAAATCAGTTTTCATTTTTATGTAAAATATCTTGATTAGGACTTTGCCTGTTTCATGTTTCGTTTAACATAGTTGTTATTCTTGGGGTAAAGACATAGCCATATCACAAAAGCAAGAGGGACTTTTACGTAATGATTCAGTAAGCTACTGCAAGTGGAATTTTTTTTTTTATAATTTTCAATTGATACAGAAAAGCTACTGCAGGTGCCTTACCTCTGGACCGACGCTGCTTAACGTATCCAACTTTAGGCGTCACCAGCAATACCAAACCAATTTCTGCTGTAGTCAACATCTAATTTTACAGAAATATATACAAACTTTAGATATGCTTTGACAACATTTTTTATTGTAACTTACAGAAGGAAGCCCAATTAACTATTTGATTTATGAACAACGAGAGATTTATGTTGATAATAATATGACACTAATCATATATGCTTCTAGGTCTAAAGACCCCAATTTAGATACTAAAATTGAAAAGAATATGATTTATTAAAGAATTTTCATATGAATTACATCCATCATGGAGTACTAGGTAAAATTACTAATGATGGTACTATAAATTGTTTCCAAATTTCTGAAAAGACCATGTAGTGGAGACAGGATCATCTCCAACAAAATTCCCCATGCATATATATAATCCTACTATGAGTTTAAATGAATCTAAAAGAAACAGAATAATTCTACGACTAGTAAAAGTTTGTGTATATAATAAGAATGCAATTTGCCTTAATTTTTTCTCATGCCCCGTATCAGATATCAAATTCTCGTGTCATAGAATCACACGTGCCGGACTCATAAAGCCTTGGACATAACAAGTGAAATATGTGTAGGCTAATTAACTAATTTGTTAACCCTGTTTTGTTCTGCACAAGCTGTTCAACATCTTCTAGCTCCATTTCTTTTACTCGACTCTCATTTTCATTTTGAAACATCATCTCTATCTGCTCCAAAGACTTCCCTTTGGTTTCAGGTACTATTGTGAAAACAAAAATAATGGCAAGGGAAGAAATAGCGGAAAACAGAAAGAACGCTCCAGCGAAAGAAATTTTCCCAGATACAGATAGGAAAGACATGGCAACAATGCCACTGCAGACTCTATTAGCCACAACTCCAAGGACTCGATTCCTTAAAGTTAACTATTAAACATTGTATCAACCATTTCAACAATTTAATCTCAGACGACAACAACAACAGAATCAACCATTTCAACGATTTAATCTTGAACTAACCCTAACCTTTAACGGATATAAGAATAAAAAATGAAAGAACATAGATAGAAATGAATAAAAATGAAGGAGTATTGAACCTGATAATAATGTCAGATTCAGAACCGTGTTCGCGTGGTGGTATGTCGTTATTGGAAGCGGAACGGCGAATGGCGGAGAGAGAACTGCGAACGGCGGAGGGAGAGAGAGAGATGCGAACGGCGGAGGGAGAGAGAGAACTGCAAACGGCAGAGGGAAAGAGAACAGCGGCGAACGGCGGACAGAGGTAGGGAGAATGGCGAACGAAGGAGGGAGAGAGAACAGCGGAAACGGTTCTTTGTGGGTTTATTAGAAATGAGCAGATTTTGGTAGAAACAGTATTTGAGATTTTGGATTTTAAATTATTACTTTTTAGATTGGTGCATTAATTAACCGATTTAAAAACCAAATTATTATTTTTTTAATTATTACTTTTTTAAATCGGTGGGTTATTTACCCAATGTAAAAACCCTTTCACTATTTTTTTTCAATTTTTTACATCGGTTAATTAATTGGCCCAATGTAAAAAATTTAGTAATTTTTTTTTATTATTTACTTTTTAGATCGGTGGATATGAAAACCAATTTGAAATCCCATTTTTAAAATTTTTTTAATATATTTTTTTAAATCGGTGGGTTATTTACCCGATGTAAAAACCCTTTCACTATTTTTTTTCAATTTTTTACATCGGTTAATTAATTGGCCCGATGTAAAAAATCTAGTAAATTTTTTTTTATTATTTACGATACTGCCACCGTGTTTATATTTTTAGATTTTAAATCAGTTCGAGTGAATACCAGATGTAAAATCATTTTTTCAAATGTCTTTTTTCTAGTAGTGGTTCTTCAGATTTTGCACCACCAGAAGCTAACAATTCAGCTTCTTTCAAGTGTGCCCTTGTATATCAGAATATATATATATATATATATATATATATATATATATATATATATATATATATATAAAAGTCTACATTTTTCATAGAATTACTTCAATTGTTAAGTTTTCCTTCAAAACTCAACAAGCTTTTCCTAAGTTAGAATTTATTTCTAATTTCTTCAATTCTCTCCTTATCAAAACCCTACATTTTAATCTAAAAACTCCCGAAAATCATTTTTATAAGTAACAGTTAAGTCAACAGAAATTAATTAATTAAAATTTTAATATATAGATCAAACACACAAAAAACACACATAAAGTTGTGTTGATGAAATGTCTCTTATAACAAAACAGAAGTAGTATAATATTCAAAGACAAATAATATAATATTAAAAAAACAATTGAATTTTGAGCCTAATCGGTCATTTCAGTATTTTGGTAACTGAATTTTATGTTGACTAACATTGTAAGATATGACATAGATAAAATACCGTTTTAGAAATAATTATAAAATTTAGTATTTGTTTAATTTAATTTTAGAAGTGGCAAAACAGTGCTAGCAAAGATTTAAGATTTAAGATACTTTTTATTTATAATAATGATCGGAGAGAGCGAGGAAGTATAGTGTAAAAATAAACATTTGAGAAGGTGCTATTGAGAAAAACGATGCTTGCAAAGAGTCAAAAAAGTGAAGAGAACAGTGTTAGTGGGCCACATCAAAATTATTATATTTAAAGATGACCCCACAATTCCCGCGTGAGGCTGTAAAGCCACACGGACCCACACAAACCTTTTCTTTCCAATTGTCAGTTTCTAATATTAATTTATATTATTACCAAAAAATATATTAACCTTTTACAACAAAGAAAAGCTAAACTCCAAATTTAATCACTTTACAAATCATCATTTTGTGCCGTTGTTATTCAACAAACAACTCATACTCTCTATGTTTCCAGCTAAGCAATGACCTGTCTATGTTATTTCTTTCATTTTCTTTCACTATTCTTAGAGATGGAAGTTGCTCATTCACAATTTTTTTTTTCGAATTCAACTCCTTATTAACTTAGTAGATTTTCATTATTTTTATATATGAAAATACTAGAAAGTTGTAAAATTGGAAACATAGTTTTTGATTTATCTCCCCACATTTTTACATGCTTAACCTCTACACTAAAAAAAACCCTACACATAGTGACTATAAGTTCAAACTTGAAAAGCCAAAAGTATATAAACAAGACAGTGAAAAAGACAACAATTGAAGCATGAAAACAGAGTTTACATCTTTTTCTCCTACCTCACTGCCTCAAAACCTTTCTCCTTTCTCACACCATTCTTCAACACACCTGCACAACTCACCCAATTAGCTACCCTCAAGCATCAAAATTGCATAGACAAAACAAAAACTCGTGTCCACTTTTTAGACATAGAAATATCCGCAAACTTTAAAATAATAACAAAACAACAACTTGTATACAACAAAAACATATATACAAAAAAACATATAATTTCAGTAATTAGCCCCACCCTTTTGGACTTTCATACCTATTTGTCACAAACATACTAAATTCATGCTGCAACAGAAACAGAACCCCTCAGGAATCTAACATATATTATGTACAATCATTTTTTTTCTTCTTAATTTCTTAATAATTATTCATCGGAAAGTTCCTCTCAATTATTTTTCCTTCTATCATTTGCAAAATAAATAAATAACAGAATAAACTAAATTAAGTACAGTAATTAACTACTGCGAAACTGTTAACTCCTCAGTTTCAATAACGGAAAGAAACATTTTTTTTCACCTTCTATTTTTAATGGAAAGAGGTTTTAGTAATTTAGAGTTACATTTTTACGAGGAATCGAACTTTGTATTTTTCGTACTAGAAAATCACGTACACTAAAACCAGAATCAATAACAAAATTGGGTGATAGTAACTGTCAACAGATCTATAAAAAAAATTATTTTCTTAATGAAATAATTGGAATTGAAGTGAATTTACCTTGAGGTTTACAATGAGGTGGAACTTCAAAGAGAGAGAAAGAGAGTTGTTTATAAGCAAGACCAATGTCAAAGAGAATCAAGCCAGAAGAAGGATCATCAACAATGATATCTTTAACCGGTAACCAAACAAAAAGCTCTTCTTGTTGCAAACCTTCAACACCAATGAGGCTTCCATAGGTGAGATTCGCAGTGATTATTCGTTCAAAGTAGACTCTATTTTCGTACTTTGTTAAACAAGGTGATTCAAGGAAAACTTCTAAGCGACCGTTTTCTGAGAACGTGTAGGATTTTACTTCTTCTGGTAAGAGACCAGCCGGTAAACCTCTTGAGCGGAGAAGGTCATGAATGGAGGAAGGGGAGGAGAGAGAAAGATGGGGAGAGAGGAGAAGGAGGAGAGAGAGGAAGAGAAAAGAGTGAAGGGTGTTGAAGAATGCCATAAAGAGAAAGGTACATGGAAGGGTTTAAGGTTGTGTTTGAGTTTGGTTTTGAGTTTTGATGATAATTTTGTGTATGTGAGAGATTGAGATGGTGGAAAATGTAATAAAGACAGTTTTTTAAGGAAAAAATGTTGTGAATTTTTTTTGGAGTGACTAATTTACCCTTGGTTGGTGACTTTGGTTGTGTGTGGGTCTTTGATTGTTTTCAACCATATTTTATGCATGTGTAGTTACTAGATCTAGATTGTGTTTGCTGCTACACTTTTTTTAGATGAAGTAATAAATACTACTGAAATTTATATATACAAGTGTGAAAATCGGAAATTGGGAAATTTAATTATATTAACATTGTAGTTGAATTAAATTTTAATATATATATTTTATCCAAGTATTTGAATGAGATGATATTTTATTGAAGTAAGTTTTGTTATCAAATAATTTTAACATTTTCTTAATTGTAATTGTGAAAGATTGAACTTTAATCTTTTCTACTAATTTTTGCATCAATCACTACTAACCAACAAATAACATAAAACATTTTTTTTAGCACAACTAAAGGTTTTGGTTTCAAAATCCAGTCTTAACCATGTAAAAGTGTAAATTTTTTTTATAGAGTTGTTGCCACTATTAAACTTTCTAGTGCCCAGATGATACCTTTATAAAAAAAAAAGGTTTTAGGATATTTTTTAATTATTTATTTTTAACTTGTTGCATGCAAAAAATTTATTTATTTTATTTATTATTTAAAAGTACAATAAAATATTATATTTGGAATTTTGAACTTAATTAGTCAATTTTGTAATCCATTTTTATTTATAATAAAGGATGGAGAGATTACTGTGTCTTAAATTGATTTGTATTTATGTTATGAATGGAGTTGTTGGTCCTTTGCTTAACTTATGTTATAACTTATCTTGAAAGCTCCATGCTTGTTAATTAGTATTATTATTATTAGTATATAGTAGTTCTACAATGCTTAGCTTACCGTTAATTATTGTCTTGTCCTACTCCAAAGTAAAAGCAAAATACTTCAATGTCTAAGTACTACCGTCAATATTTCCTTTTCATCATCATCATCATCATATATATATATATATATATATATATATATATATATATATATATATATATATATATATATATATATATATATATATATATATATATATATATAGATAGATAGATAGATAGATAGATAGATAGATAGATAGATAGATAGATAGAGAGAGAGAGAGAGAGAGAGAGAGAGGTCGCACATAAGCCGTCGGGTCGCACGATAGAAGAACACCTAACATATTGATGCACACTCCAAAATGTGAAATATTCATCTTCATTGGAGCTTTTTGGTGGTAGTCGTAACCAACAACCATCAGTTGTCGACTCGGGAAATGGGGAAAAAAAGCAGGACGATCAATCCCTCGTAGGAGCTCGGAGAAAGATAGCTAGAATCTATTCTATTTTATTATAAGGGGTGGGTGAAAGACGGGTTAAATAGGCAAGAACGGTCCACACCAATATAGGCGCACGAGAGTACTCTCCCATCAAAGTACGCCACTGATTAGGCTGAACGTAAAATGACATTGTGTTGTGCGAGAGTGGCAAGAATCGAGTCAGATTTCGCCGAGACGCAACTCGATTGCCTTTCGTACAGAGGAACTTGGACTAGGGTTCCTTTTATATATATATATATATATATATATATATATATATATATATATATATATATATATATATATATATATATATATATATATATATATATATATATATATATATATATATATATATATATATATATATATATATATATATATATATATATATATATATACTTTGCCCTATTTCTCCCTATTTTCTTTATTTATATTTCACGTAAGAACATGATATCATTACCATAATTTTAAAGTGAAAAATATTGAATTGAGAACGAGTTATGTAATATTAATTATATGATATAATTGAAACGAAGTAATTAATGTTATATTAAAAATTAATTAAAATACAATATTTATTTTGAAATACTCGTACTTTTAATATTTTAAATAGAGGGAGTAGCGTGGCAAAACAGACATGCATGTTTACCTAAGATCCACCGCAAAAGCTTGAAAAAAATGGGATGGAATGAAACGACCATCGGTGAGGGAGCGTGCTTAAAATCTTTGTTCGTTCTACAAAAAGATGTGGACAGAACATGTCAGCCGACATTGCACTTTTAAACATAAAAATTGTAAAATATCATATAAATGCACATGCCATAAAATGCGCGTAAAAAATATAAAGCGAAGTAGGGCGAACATATTAAATGACGCAGATCTAAAATCTTTGATTGTTTCGGAAAAAATAGGGTAAAACAGACATGTCCAACAAGTCGGACACGTTTTTCCATCCTTAAGAGGTAGTATCATCTATTGTAGATGTTTTTTTGTTCATATAAGAAATGAAGTGCAAAAATAAAACTTTTGTTCCTTGTTACTCTTTATACCAAAAAATAAATAATCAAATTATGCACTCTCCATAAGGGTGAAGTAAAACGATTTAGATGCCAACCACATTACAATCAACTTATGCAAAATTGATTAACACTTGAATTAGTTGTCAATAACAGTTAGATATGGCTAGAAATTGGTTGAAAAAGATATTATTGTTCCAGGATTAGAACTAGAATCATGTTTGGATTGTAGTGTTTGATCACTATTGTGGTGTTGCAAGTTTCTGATGTGGTGGATCATTGAGTTGGATATGTAATGCTATCACTTCAATGCTCAAGTAAGTTAATGAGTCCAAAAAAAGGGTAGAGTGAAGTATGGGAAGTGTGACTGTACCTTGTGTCTTACATGCGTAGAAGTATTTATCCTTGAATCGAGTCGGTTGTTGGGCCTTTAGATACTAAATAAGCATTTTCTTATTGGACTTTTGGTCGGCGCAGAGCAATTACCAATAGGTCAATTGGAAGTATTTGACTATCAATTAGATTACAATCACATGACATTGTATTCAACTAATATAAATTTGACTAACAACTGAATTAGATTTTGTACAGTTATTAAGCATGTCTGCTAAATACAAATGGGCTTAGATGTTATTATAAGCCATCTTGAAAATATTTTCTTATCAAGGCAAATCATGATTATTTGACATTTAAATTGATTGATGTAGGATTGATTGAGAACTAAATGAGTTATTGACTAATATTGATTTCCAAGTCCAAACAAGATTTAGAGGATGTTATTGAGCTTTGTGAGACTCGTGGTAATATTTAATGAGAGTCCAAGAGATTGCAACATAGATTTTACAAAGTCAACAGGTCATATTAGCATTTTCCTACATATGTGACATGATAAATAAAATGTTTACAATAGAGAAAAGAAAATAAATTAACCACTAACCTAAGTAAATATAAATGACAAAAATAAGGTCAAATATTCACTCACACAAAATAGAAAGGCTTAAATACAGTTTCAGTCCATCTATTTTATTATTTTTAAAGTTTTAATCTTGCTTTAAAAAAAATGTTAGCTTGTTGATCCTCATATTAAATTTTTTCTAGGATATTTTTGGTCCTTCTCCACTTTTGTGTCTGTGCCACCTCAAAATAGTGGTGTGGCGCTAAGTATGTGGCACCATGTCATTAAATGTACTTACATGAAAATATCTAATTCTTTTTTTTAAAACAATCATTATTTTATATTTTAATTATTTCTTTTAATAATTTAAATATTGAAAACTATTTATTCCTATTAATATTAATCAAAGGTATGAGAAAATCATAAACCATCATCTTCTTCGTTAAGTTTGTCACAGACAATGATCTTCTTCGTTGAGTTTGTTCCATTCCATCGCCCCCAAGTCTAGAGAAACCATAAACCATCGTCACCTACATCATCTTCATCACAAATAATCATGTCCCAATATTTCCAAGCAAGTAATCGCATCAAATCTCTTTCCATCCGAAGTGAGTGTATATGTGGTCTTTATGCACCATTGATGATATCATGACCGATGTTAACCCTGAACATCATTTTTACGGGTGTGGGGTGTATAAGGTATTAATGTTATGGATATCTTCCATTCAAAGTGCATTCTCGGTGATTCGAAATCCTTGAACTTATTCTTCTTCTATACTTTTTGGAGCTTCATGGACACAAAAGGTGTTGTCATTTTGTTTATTATGACGAATAGATAACCCTAAGAGCAAAATAATCGATTTCTTCATTGCATCAAAAATTAAGTCTAGAGGAGATTAAGGTGAATGAAGGCAAGTTTAAAGAGGATGAATTGAAGATGAAGATAAAGTTTTTGAATACGTAGTTGAAGTTTTCATTTTCCATGAGCATTGTGTTGTTAATAGTACTACTTGCAATAAGTATAATGAATTAGGAATTGTCATTATGATTTAGGTTTTGAAACAACCTTGTTGTGTTATTATTTAGTAGTTAAGGTTTTGAAACAAATTTGTTGTAACTTATGTATCAATTACTTATGAATGAAAAAGATCTTTTAATTATGAATTGTTCCAAAACTATGTCAATTAATATAACAACAACAATTAAGCCTTGCCCCACTAAGTGAGGTCGGCTACATGGATCAACTTTCTCCATTATGTTCTATCAATCTAAATCATTAATCTCGAGATATCTCTTAATAATTTCTCTGATAGTCTTTCTCTGTCTTCACATTCCACTAATTGTTTGAATTTTTTCCATATGGTTTACCCTTATTACTACAAATCTACCGGTCTTCTTTCTACATGCCAAAACCACCTAAGTCTATTTTCCACCACCTTCTCAATTATAGGCTCTACCCCGACACTCTCTAATATTTTCATTTATAATTCTATCTTGTCAATTCTTATCATACATCTACCATACCATCCTCATCTCTGTTACACTTACTTTAATCTCATGTTGATTTTTAACCGCACAACATTTTGTCCCGTATGAAATCACAGGTCTTACTACTGTCCGATAAAATTTTCCCTTCAACTTGAGTGGTACCCTTGC